AAGTGGAAGAATATCCCTTGCTCATGGATAGGAAGACTCAATGTTGTGAAAATGGCAATACTACCAAAAGCAATTTACACATTTAACACAATCCCAATAAATATACCAATCCCATTATTCAAGGAGATGAAAAAGGTAATCTCCAGTTTCATTTGGAATGGAAAGAAGCCCCGAATAAGCAAAGCACGCCTTAAAAATAGAAAAAATGTAGGAGGCATCTCTCTCCCTGATTTCAAATCCTACTACACTGCCGTGGTGGTTAAGACAGCATGGTACTGGTACAATGACAGACACATAAATCAATGGAATAGAATTGAGAATCCAGAAATCAGCACATCTACCTATGATTCTCTTTGTTCTCTTTAAGAGGTATAACTGTAGACTGACTAGCACGCTCTGTGAATCTTCCATTCATAAAAGTTTTATAGACATGAAATATTTTTTCACTGACAGTTGATTGTTGCAATGCAAATATATTGTGGGAATGCATCCACAATAAATAAGAGTTCCTAAAAAAAAAGTCACTAAAACATTAATAGACTTTCTTCTAGTATACTCTCAGCCAGGATTCATCTGACATTAGCAGTGATATCCCTGGTGCAAAGACCTCTTCTGAATCCAGCTTCAACTTCTGGAAATTCTCCATCTGTGTATATTTGAATAATAATTGTATGCCTGGTATGCTTATGAATAGCATTCTTAATCACTCATAGCTTTGTATTCAGGATAGATCTTGATAGATCTTGAAATGCTCTTTTGAAAGTGAGTGCAAATGTGACACCCTTCTTGAATTTGTCATTCTCAGCATTATAGATCCTAAGATTGTTTGATTCAGAATGGCCAGTGCAACTCCATCTTAGCGCACTAGGATATTGATCTTTGTGCTTTGTTCCATTTTACAACTTGGAGTTTTTCTAGATTTACACTTTGTATATTCCATGTTTCTGTTTGGATGTTTGCAGCTGTTTCTCCTCATTTTGAGTTTTGCCACATAAGAGAATGAGGAGGTTTTATTGGGAGAAAGCTTCATGCCATCCTCCTCATGATGGTAGACTACTCCACTTTGAGGAGACATCTTTACCCCAGCAAGTGCCTTCGCCTGTGAGGGACCTCTTCTGACACTGCTCCTACCTTATTAATAGGATTTTCAAAGGCCTGTCACTTCAAAAATGAATGGCCAATCCTGATCCTTTGTCTTAGTCTGGAAGCTCTGCTGAAACCAGCCTACCTGGTTCAGTGCCAGTATTCGCAGTACGGGTGATATTGCTTAGTATGATAGCAACACACGAGCTACCACAGTACAGAAAAGTAATGATAAGTAAGGGAAATTATACTGTGAAAGAGAGGGAAACCCTTAATGAGATGGATTGGCACAGCAGTAGGCTTGAGCATGGCATAGACCATGAGGGTGGCACAGGGCACAGGATAGGTCGAGGGTCAGATCTGTGCTTGACTCGACAGCACCTAACAACAACATTGATAATACTCAAGTTATCTTCCCTGTTTAGTCCTCTTATAATTTACATTAAGAAAGTGTTTTTTCACTTGAGTAATTCTAAAAGAAATTTGGCTTGTATGTTAGGCACTGATGATAAATAGAATTTACTGTTCTGTATACATGTCTTATGTTATTTCTAACTCTTGCAATGACCTGTCAGATTGTCACTATTATCCCTACATAAATGAGAAAACTGGAGTTAAAAAACTTTTGTCACATGCTCTCAGTCCCTGCCAGCAGTGTGTTTTTCTTCTGTTCTATCTCCAAAACCTGTGCTTTTTTCTAAATATGTAATATTTTGAAGGTAACTTTTCTTCATATATATACATTCACTATGACAGCAAAGTGTTTTCCACTTTATAGCTGTTTATTACACAAACTATCACAAAACTACACTTTCAAAACAATAGGACTGATGTAAGCATGGTGTACTCATTTGATTTTATTTCTGTCCTCATGCAGCCTTGGTGGGGGACCAGATGATGCAAAAGAAATTATGAGACACAGTTTCTTTTCTGGAGTGAACTGGCAAGACGTGTATGATAAAAAGGTAAGATAAATCTGTGACCCTATGTATATGATCCTCTAGTGCTTGTGCATTTTGACTGCTCTGCTCAAACAAATGTTGTAGAATGCCATTGAGTCAACTGTGACTCATAGCAACCCTATGTATATACAACAACTCCGAACCCTGCAATTTCATCATCTCTGACACACCTACCCTCATTACCCCAATCACTGAGTCAATCCATCTCATCCTTGGTCTTTTCTTGCACCATCCTTCCACCTTTCTATGCATGATGTTCCTCTCCAAAGACTGGTCCCTTTTCGCAACATCCCTAAAGTATATCAAACAGCTTTAAAATCCTTGCTTCGAAGGAGCAGCTCGTTTAATCCTCACCAGGATGGATCTGTTTGTACTCTTAGCATTCTGTGATATGTTCAATACTCACAGCACCACAACTCAAAAGCATCGATTTCTTCTTAAGTCATTCTTAGTCATTGTCCAGCTTTTTGATGCATAGCAAGTAATTCAAAGACCATGCCCTGGATCAGGCACACCTTAATCTCTATACTGATGTCATTGTTCTTCAGTAGTCTAGAGAGGTCCTTGACAGCAGACTTTCCCAGTGCAATTCATGTTTTCATTTCATGGTTGCTGGTCCCAAGAAAGTTGATTGTGGAGCCAAGCAAGCTGAAGCTTTTAATCTCTTTTCCATCTATCATGATGTCGCCAGTTGGCCCAGTGGTGAGAATCTTTATCTTCTTGATGCAGAGCTTCAATCCATATTGAAGACTACAGTCCTTGAGTTTCTACAGCAAATGCCTCAGTTTCTCAGTTTCAGCAAGCAAGGTTGTATCATCTGCATAACACAGGTTATTGATGAGTCTTCCTGCAATTCTGATGCCACATTCCTCTTCATAAGGCCAACCTCCCAGATGATTTTTTTTCCTCATATAGATTGAAAAGGTATGGAGATACAATGCATCCCTTGAGTACACCTTTTGCAATTCTGAACCATGCAGTGTTTCCTTGCTCTGTTCTGACAACTGCCTCGTGGTCCAAATATATATTTTGCATAAACACAATCAAGTGTTCTGGGATTCCCATTCTTCTCAGAGTTAACAACAGTTTGTTGTGATCCACACTTTGCATAGTCAGTGAAACACAGAAAGACATTCCTCTGGTACTCCCTGCTTTCAGCCAAGATTTCATTAAACATTAGCTATAATGTCCTTGGTGCCACAACCTCTTATAAACCCAGCCTGCATATATGGAAGTTCTCTGTTGATTCCATCATTTTTGTATAATTTTCAGAAGGATCTTGTGTAATAGTAATATGTTAGATAATTTCCACACTCTGTCAGGTTACCTTTTCTTGGAATGGGAATGAATGAATACATTTATAATTAATTAATTAAAGCTCTCTTCCATTCACTTGGACAGGTGGTGGGCAGCATCTCTTTGTTGAAATATGTCAGTTGGTATGCAGTCAGTTACTGAGGCCTTGTTTGTTGCCAGTTCTTTCAGAGCAGGTTGAACTTTCTCCTACATCACCATAGGCTCCTGATCATGTTGTTTCTTGAAATTCTGTGTCAGCCAATTCTTTCTGATATAGTGAGACTGTACTCCTCCCATCTTCCTTTGATGCTTCCTGGGTTTTTCAGCATTCTACCCATGGCATCCTCAGTATAGCAACCCCAGGCTTGAATTTATTCTTCAGTTCCTTCAGGATTTTTTGTTTTGTTTTGTTTTGTTTCTCCTCTCTTCTACTAAGCACTTTATTAGAGAGATTTGTGCTAATCTGGATGGGGAGGCTGGGATGGGAGGACCAGCACCCATCTGAGGGGGCTTTCTGAGGCATCAGGCATTTCTCCATTCACATTTAGAGCAAACGCCCTCATTACCGAAGCCCCCACAGAAGGGAGCATAGTGCCTGCCAGGCAGCCTGGGATGGGGGCGCCTCAGGCACTCCTGGGCCCCTTAGACAGTAGGACCACGATGTCAGCCTCGATGTTGATGGTTGGGGAGCGGCAGCTGTACCTGTGCACAGGCACACCGATGGACCCCACCAGGAGCTTCTCGATGTTCCAGGCAGTGTCGTTGTGCACGCTGGACACCATGTGGTCAACTTGGGTCAGTCATGAGGGAGGCGGCATCATTGCTGGGCATGGGCAGGGTCTCCCGCAGAAAAGCGATGAGGGGATGCGCCCGAGCACCGTTAACATGGCACTTCTCAATAAGTGTGGAGTTGAGCTCGAACCCACCGCCTGGTCAGACATGGAATTCAGGGTCTCTTCATTTTTGGCGTTCTCCTGATGCCCAAACTGGTTGCATGGGAAGCCGTGGACGACCAGCCCTCGGTGGGCTGCAGATCGTTCATCTGGGTGTAGTCCCGGACAGGACCGTGGTTCCTCGGAGCAACACCACCTTCTCGATGGGCAGCGCTTTGCCCTGCAGCGAGCCCAGGCGCAGGGCTCCCCACCATCAGTGGGCACGCAGAGAAGGCATGCAGGGTGCGCGCACCATCTCCCGCAGACAGCACACATAGCGAAGGAGCGAGAGGTGAGCCTAGAACTTGGACCCCCAGTTCCTTCAGTTTAAGAAATGCTGAGTGAGTTCTTTGGCCCTTTTTGATTTTGACTCCCACTCTTTGCACATTTCATTATAATACTGTGCTTTGTCTTCTCCTGTTGCCCTTTTTAAATCTTCTGTTCCGCTCCTTCACATCTTTATTTCCTTCTGCATTGGCTTCCCAGCACTCTAGTGCAATATTCAGAGTCTCTTCTGACATCCATTTTGGTCTTTTCTTCTTTTTCTGTCTTTGTAATGACCTTTTGCATTCTTCATGAATGATATTCTTGATATACATCCATAGCTCCTCTGGTTTTCTCTCATTAGTATTCAAGGCCTCAAATCCTTTCCCACAATGGAGGCGAGGATTCTGGGGCTTCATCTGACATACTTTGGACATGTTGTAAAGGAGGGACAGGTCCTTGGAAAAAGACATCATGCTTGGGAGGGTGGAGGGACAGCGCAGGAGGGGAAGACCCTCTATGAGGTGGATTGATTCAGTGACTGGGATAATCGGAATGGGAGTGTCAGAGACAGTGTGATTGGCACAGGATAGAGCAGGGTTTAGGGCTGTTGTACACAGGGTCGCTATGAGTCGCAAGCGACTCAAAGGCACATAATAACAATCAACTCTTATTGTGAATTAACTTTTCCCCTCATAATTTATCTATTAATTTTTATTTTTCTCTCCCTCCCTTCCCACCTGTTAATCCTCCTTGGTTGATTCTATGTATAAACATTTCCTTAGTTTTCTACAGTACTGGTTTTATATCATCATTTCCTTTTGTGACTGGCTACAGCACTCAACACAACTCAGTTGAGTTTCATCTATGTTGTGCAATCTTTTACAAATTCTTAATTATTTTCCAGGGATGCATACTATTCTATTATGTGACTTTAATGCATAATACTCCATTATGTGACTTTATCCTAGTTTCTTTAGTGATTTGTCTGCTGATGGACGCGTGTGTTGTTCCCATCTCTTTGCTGTTGTAAGTAATGCTGCAATAAACATGGGTGTATGTATGTTAGTTTGTATCACAGATATTATTTCTAGCATATATGCCTGTTTAGTAGGATTGCTGAGTCAAATGGCATTTTCTGTTTCCAACTTTCCATGGGAACACTGAGGTGATATCCATAGTGGTTGCATCATTTTACCTTCTCATCAGTTACGTCTGAGAGTTCTAATCTCTTCATACTCATGCCAGTATTTTTGTTTATTGTATTTTGCTGTTGTTGATGGAATATGACAATATTCCAGAACACTTAATTTTGCTCATATAAAATCTATACCTAGACCAAGAAGCTGTTGTCAAAACAATACAAGGGAACACTGTATGGTTTGCATTTAGAAACGGTGTGCATCGTGGGTATATGCTTTCTCCATACCTATTCAGTGTATATGCTGAGCAAATAATTCATGAAGTTGGACTCTGTGAAGAAGAATAAGGCATCTGGGTCAGAAGAAGACTCATCAACAGCCTGCTTTATGCAGATGATACAGCATTGCTTGCTGGAAACAAGAGGGTACTTGACGTCATTGTTGTAGAAAATAAAAAACTGCAGCCTTCAATATGGATTACATCTTTACATCTAGAAGAGAAAAGTGCTAACCACCACTGGGCAACAACATGACAGATGGAGAAAATCAGAACTGTTAATGAGTTCATCTTACTTGGGTCCATAATCAACACCCTTGATACCAACCATCAGGAGATGAGGAGACGTATTGCTCTGGGCAAGTCTGCTGTTAGGGACCTCTCCAAAATACTGCAGATCAGTGATGTCAGTTTGAGGACTAAGGTGCACCTGTCAGAAGAGGAGAAAACAGTACATGGGGCACAGGGTCATGAGCATCTTTTTGAAAGGGCCAGAGGGAGTGAGAATATGTCCTTGCTCCAGAGCAGAAAGCAAATAAAGAGCCAGTATCCCAGCCCCCTAGTACCTCTAGAGCCACACCAGCAGAAAGGTTCATTTATTCATTGTTAACGTACATATTTTGCTCATAACTGTGGTGCTGAACATGGAGTTTTTTAGGGAAGTAAGTTGGAGAGAGAGGGAGGAAAAGAATATCTCACAATACAAATCCAGGTTTTATACCAACGGTTCCAAGGTACAGCTCTTCAATTAGTCCAGGTTTCAATTTCAGTTTAGTAAGCAGCTCAAAATCTTTTAACTGTGGCCAGCACAAATGCAAGAAACCTTGAGTCAGACCTTGCCACAGTTTCTCCATAGCAATGCCACAGTCATTGTACTACTATCACTAGGATCTTGCCACCAAGGCCTTGCTCCACTTTTCCTCAAGTTTGCTGCCACAAGTCTTGCTACTCAGTGTGGGAAGTATTCCTCTCTTATCCTAGTCCCATAGCTGTTGATGATTCTCAAGACCATGGATCTACAGTTACGGTACCTGGAGACCTGAAGGGGGCTAACTGTAATGCCTTTAAAAAAACCCAGCTTTTAAACTAACA